TGGCCTGCTGTGTTCATCCAGCTCTACACCTTGTTAGGCCCATATCCATGCTTTTTGTCCAACCTTTTTAAAGATTTTTTATGTTATCAGCTTATGCCGCGTTGTTAGGTATTACTTTCAAGATCCTGAACGTTCTCCTAGTTTCCCCACTAGATGTTTTGCAAACTATTTTAAATCTCTGACCGCTAACTCACTCTGTATCCTCTATCTACTCTATGAAGACTTCTCATAATTTTGAAAACCTGTATTAGATCAACACCTAATCTTCCCCATTTCAAGGATAATAGCCCTACTCTTTTCATAACTGAATTATCTTTTCCCCTCCTCTGTACCCTTTTTAAAGCCATTCTGTCTTTCCTGAAGTGTAATGTACTGGATGGCCCAAAATATTAAGCCAGTTCATAGGAACGTGATAAAATTTAAGTTAATACTGAGTTAGATAGAGAAATGAGGACAACACAAATAGAGTACTGCAGATGCTGGAAATCTGAAACCAAAACAGAAAATGGTGGAGAAATTCAGCAGGTCTGGCAGCATCTGTGGAGAGAAGTTAACATTACTGAAGATCATCGGATCTGAAGAAGAGTCATAATGGAATCAAAACTCTGTTTTTCCTGAGATCATAGGACAGGTGACCAAGAGAATGGCGAAAAAAGTTAGGTTTTAAGGAGCATCTTAAATGAGATGAGGAATGAAACAATGCTGTGAGATTTAGGTAGACAGTTTCAGAACTTCAGGTCCAGGAAGTGTACACTATGGCTGCCAATATTGTGGTGATGGAAATATAATATTTTTGACTGGAGAATGAAGGGGTTTTTATGGTTTTCAAGGAAGAGCATAATTGTGATTAAATATTTTTGCTACAATGACCAACTCTGTGTGCTAATATACTTTGCTTTTTAAAGTATATAGGAAAATAAATGTACCAGATGATAGGAAATTTATTTCCAGGACTAAAATTAAATTTTATGCCTCAAATTTCTAACCATGGGGCTTCCTCTAGCATGTTTTATTTGTATTTTGTTGCAACTCTTAAGAAAATAGGCACTATCTATATGCAAAATTATTCAAAAAACACATTAGATAATATACCTCTCATTCTCAAACACTCTTCAGCCCTTTACAGCTTATAGTTACCTATTTCATTGGCATCATTTGCTAAAACACCTCCTCTGTATAGCAAATAACAAGGTGTAGAGCTGGATGAACACAGCAGACCAAGCAGCATCAGAGGAGCAGGAAGGCTGACGTTTCGGCCCTAGACCCTTCTTCAGAAAATGATCTGAATGCTTCCTCTGTACAGCATACCTAATACTCTATTATTGGTACAATGATTTCATAAACTTTCTACTTAAATGAATGAATGAATCATTCCTGCATAATATACTGTTTATAGCATACTGCTCCTTAAAAAAGAGAGGTGATCTCCTGAAAACACGCTGAACTCTTATAGGACTTGACAAGGTAGATGAAAGGAAGATGTTTCCCCTGCTTACAGAGACAAGATCTGTGTACTGGTGTATCAGAATTAGCGTTCAACTATTTAGGACTGAGATGAAGAGAAATTTCTTTATTCAAATCTCTGAAACTATAAATCTTTGAACTCTTTGCAACAGTATAGAAACTTAGAAAATAGAAGCAGGAATAGGCCCTTCATTATGATCATGGCTGACCATTCAACTCAGTAGTTTCTTCTCACTTACCCCCAGCTCCTTTGATCCCTTTAGCCCCAAGTGCCATATCCAACTCTTTCTTGAAATCATACAATGTTTTGACTTTGACTACTCTCTGTGGCAACAAATTCTATAGGCTTATCACTTTCTGAGTGAAGAAATTTTTTTTATCTCAGTCCTAAATGGTCTATCCCGCATCTTTACACTATGACCCAGGCTCTGGACTCCCCCCATCATTGGGAACATCCTTTCTGCCTCTACTCTTTCTGGTCCTGTTTAAATTTTATAGGTTTCTGTGAGATCCCGTCATTCTTTTGAACTTACGTGAAATTAATCCTAACTGATACAACCTCTCCTTATATATCAATCCTACCATCCAGGTAACAGTTTGATACTGGGACTGAGCATATTTAAGACAGGGATCAGTAGATTTTTGGACACAAAGAGAATCTAGGGACATGGGATAGTAGTAGAAGATAAAATTGAAGTTGAAGATATGCCACATTCTTCATGAATGGTGAGGTAGTCTTAAATAGTGTACTCCTGCTCCTATTACTGTATGCTCATAGTTCTAGATGTGACAACTACTGCAGGGTTTCCCAAAATGGAGGTTGGATCCCAAGTGGGTTCACAAGCTGAAATTCTGAGGTATTGACCTCTGAGTAAACAATGGATGCTGTGAAGCTGTGATCAAGTTACAAAAGCTGTACACCTGTTCTAATAAGTCCACACCTCTTGTTACCATTCACTTCTCAAATCCCCATGGTCTCTCAGCTCCCATTGAGAAGAGTGGGAGTCACAAAACTTTCAGGTTGCAAAGTGGATTGACAGAGGGAAATAGTTTGGGGAGCATTGATCTTCTGTTTAAGGATTCTCCCAACATTAAAGATATCTTTAGGATATCTTTAGAATTTATACCCTTTTTATAGACAACTTATTTTATGTCTTCCTACTAAGTTGTCATTAATTCCCTTCCCACAGAGAACTTCCACTTTCAAGCGACACAATTCAATCACAAGTCTCAAAAGAAAAATTTGAGGAAAAATTTATGGAAAATTTGGAAAACCTAGAATTACGTAAAGCAAAAGACCTCCGCAATTTAGAGACATTAGTAAGTATTCAACTCAAGCCTTAAACCAACAGGAAGGAATTGGGAAATCCTTACAAGTAAGAGCTATATTACATTCAACCACTCACTTCTTCAGGGGAAAATAAAACCTATATTTAGCAAATAACAATGAAAATGTCTTATTCTCAGATCGTAGTTGACCGCTAGTGATTTTGTGTTGCTCTTTTGCTAATAGTGTTTGTCATACTGAACCATTACTCTGATTAAAAATTTGTAATTGGGACAAAATTTTGTTGCACCAATGATTTTAATGCCAATGATAATGCTGAACTTTGTCTTGTTATTGCCTTTAGGGATTAACTGTTTTCTTTTTGCTTAACTCATGTTCAAGGTCAACCTGACTTGATTGTAGAGCTGTCCTTTCAATGTATGGCCGGTGTTCTAACCCATGAAGACTTGATTACAATTTGAATTGGGGTGCATGCCAGTTTTAAGACTGCAGTTCAGCCTTCAGGTGCAAATGAGTGGCACATGCATCTATGTATTCATATAGCACTGAGATTTACTGAATATAGGGAGGCCTAACCAGCAGTCTTTAAAGGGGTTCCAGCAGACTGCTCAGAAAACAAAATAGAAAGCGCAGTGCCTCTAAATATTGTGGACTTGGAGGAGTACAAATACTCCCATCTATTTCCAACCACTCTCTCTCTCCTACCATGCAATTGATTCACTCACCTTGTAGCATTTAACGTACCATATTCATACAAAATATTAGGGAATCTTGGCAAAAGAAAATCTAATTTTCCATGGCTTGAAATTTGACTGGATTGCACTCATTTCCTACCTGTTCTGGGAAGGCAGAGGAATTAAGGGAGTTTAAGTCATCGCAGTGGTCCAATGTGGGTGCTGTGGCACGTAAGACCCAATCTTGCTCCTCACCAGTGTGGATCCTGCTCCATTAACAATAATAAAGCTGAGACTGCATAGGCAATGTAAGGATTTAATTTAACAAGTAGGTGGATGGGGTAGTGAGAGTTGGCAAACTCAGGGTTTGATGTTGATTAGGGTGATGGAAGTTTGAAAGTATTTAGAATTATAAATGGCAGAATTCTGGAGATATTCAAGACTGGAATGGAGTTGTGAAGTTTGAGGTGGCTAAGGTATAGATGAGCATTTCAACAGCACAAGGGAAGTGAGATACAGTCAAGGATCAGTGACAGTGTGCCCAGCCATGGAAGTAGTAAAAGAGCATGAAATTTGAAGTTCAGTTTAGGATTCAATTGGTCTTAATCTAAGGGAGTTGCATGAGATATAGATGGCACTGCATGTGGAGGTCTATGGTAAGGAATAGAATTCTAAGTGGGTGTTGACCATAATAGTTTAAGCCTTGTTGATGTTAAGGTGAAGGGAACACTTCCTGCTTCAGCACTTGGTAAAGCTGGTTGACAGTGTACAGTGAATGTATATGGACTGATGTCAAATTATAGAATCTTGATGGTGTATGTGTCTTTAGATGCAGGTCAAAAAATACCATGATGTTCTGTGTGATACCAAGTTAGACGACCTGCTGCAGGCCCTGCACAATGAAAGCAGAACTGGATACTACTTCACACGTTTTTGTGAAAAAGCAGGGAATACAGTAAGTGAGATAAACCTTAGATTATTGGACAATTGGGTAATTTATTATTCGATTTTAACTTATTTTGAGAACAGAGCTAATATCTGACTTTCATCGCTCATTGAAAATCAATGTAAACACTACTTTCAAGTTGGCAGATTAGAATCATTGATTGATGCAGCAAAGAAGAAGGCCATTTGGATCATCATGCCTATGTTAACTCTATGGAAGAGCTATTCCTTGCTCTTTCCCCACAATACAATAAATATTTTGACTTCAAGAATCTGTCCAATTCCTTTTTGAATCTGCTGCCATTATTTTTTCAGCAGAGCATTCCAAATTGCAATCACTCATTTTTTTTATCGTGTTGCATCTATCTCTTTTTCCTATTTCCTACTTTTCTTCCTTCTTCTTTCATGGGATGAGGGTGTCATTGGCAATGGTGAGTGTTGCCCATCCTTAATTGCCCTTGAATAACTTGTTAGGTCATTTACAGAGTGTGGTTAAGAGTCAAACGCATTGCTGTGGGTCTAGAGTTACATGTAGATCAGGTATGGATAGCAGATTTCCTTCACTGAAAGATATCAGTGAACCAGATTTTTTAATTAACAATTGGTAGTAATTTTATGGCCACCATTACAGAGACTAGTTTTTAATTCCAGATTTTGTTGAATTCAAATTTCACCACCTGCCATTGTGTGATTTGAGCCCATGTCTCAGAGCATCAGTGTGGGGCACTGGAGGGCTGATCCAGTAATATTAACACCATGTGATTGCATCCCCACAATATCTGTGTCCTTTGGCTAATGATGCTCCTGCCACATTGTGTTTTTCTTTCAGAATCAAATAGCCATTCACAATCACTGGAAACAAACCATTACCATGTAGAATATTAACAAATATTCCTTCCTATCTTGCAGTTATGGAGGAATGGTGTGAGCCTGTGGTTTGACCTGAAAGAATATCAGCGACTGTTTTATGCAGAAATCTTTCAACCTTTTAAACTCAAGAGACAAGCTCAGGCAAGCTAAGAAATTCATGTTGTTTTGATGATCGTCATATCTTGGTGGAGTACAGAATATGCCAGGATTGTAAATAGAAGGATAAGGGGATCAGCAGTATTACAATGGAGAGAGTGATCATAATCCCGAAAAGGGAAGGGTTGACGATGCACGGAATTTTAAAATTTGAAAACTTCCAAACAAGGGCTCAAACCCTATTCAAGCCAATCACCTCTGAACTTAGCTAAATTCAGGCAGGGGTTGTGTCTGGCCCATTAATTCCAAGGAAGCAAGTACCTTATCTGGATATTTTAACGAGACTATATGCTTCATATTTTATTTTGCTTTCTTCTTTAATGCTGGCTGGCTACCCAGCTACAAGGGAGACAAGAAATCAGCATGGAAAAGAGAAATGCTTTTTTCCACCTTTGCTTTATGCCGGGAATGCTTCATCCTGGCCTTTCAAGCTAACCTGTTTCACTTCACACAAATAACCTCTCCCCACAGTCAGGTACCCTTCCTAAATTCTCATCTGTGCTCCTGAACAGTCCTGTTGAGATTACCATGTGGTAAGTAAAGGCACATCTTAAAGGGGCCAGTGCTGATGTGTGGACTGGTAAGGTACTGCACGACATATTCTCAATTCCACAATCATGCCCCATGCAGCTTAGAGGGAATGTCACTCCCTGAATCTCCAAACCACACGTACATGCAGTCTCTATATTGATATTATGATCATCAATATGCTTGACTATTATTTATGAATTGAAGTGATTATCCATAACACAAGAATGGCCCCCGCACATGCACAGACATGGGCAATGATGTTAGCTGGCTGCAAAAGGCCACAGGAAGTGCGCTAATAGCACCATGCCAGGATGTGCCTGCATATGCACCACGGTCTCCCCTCATGCCAGGGATGTGAGGGCTAGAGAGGCTGGAGCTTCCCCTTCCTGGCTGTGTCAGCAGAGTAGTCTTCTTTGACCACTGCTCTTCTTCACCCTGCCATCACTCCTGGCCACCCAGCCCTCTCCAGCCTCCGTGCTGCCTTTGGAGGGACCCTTTCCGGAGCTAGGAGACCGTACCCTAGAGCCAGGGCTACACTGGCTACTCACCACACACCCCCTCCCTAAAATCATTATTGTTGAAGAAGGAGTGATCCACAGGCATGTTGAAGCATAAATATCATTTCCCAGTTAGAGACTGCACTGTGCATTCTCCAGTTACAATGTATCTATATGTTGAATTAGGCAGCAAAAGATTTTCAGAGACTTTACATGGGCCTGATTGTAAAATGAAGAGTTTGCACAAAACAAGCTTCCATTTTTCCCTGTCCAGAAACCAACTTCCCACGGGGAAGAACCCAACTCTTCATTTTTCTCATTAACCTGTTCAGAGATGTCATGACACATTTCTGAAACAAGTGGGACTTGAACCCAGGCATTTTGGCACAGAGGTAGGGGCATTACCTCTGTACTACAAGTGCCTTAAGAATCCAACTTGTTTGTTTATATCCGGAGTGCTCTTACAGACAACTAAATAGCTTTTCCTACCAGCAAATCATCCACTGTAACTTTCACCTATTATCCACCATCATTAATTTACCCATGTTTTCCAATTAATCAAATTATGCGAGGACCCTGCTCTTACATATTTTCCTAACCAACCTGTTCAGAGATGTTATTAATACCTCTAGAGCAGGTGGGATTTGAACCCAGGCCTCCTGGCTCAGGAGTAGAGATACTACCACTAGATCATAAGATTCTATTTTAAGAAACCAGTTTTTATCTATTATCCAGAAATAATCTTACTCAATTTTTTTTAAATCACCAAATCACCCATGGTATTTTTTTCATCAACCACAAGTAAATCACCGTGTTTTCCAATTAATTAATTTATGTGCAAAGCCCGTTAAGGACAATGCAAGAACCCAGCTCATTTTTTTTATATCTGGGCGAGAAGTGTTCTTACACAGAACAGAACTATTTTCCCCCTCTGTCACCAAATCACTCGCAGCATTTCTTCATCTTTAACCAAGAACCCAGCTCTCGGATATTTACTAAGCAACCTGTTCAGAGATGTTATTACACACCTCTGAAGCAGGACTTGAATGTGGGTCTCCTGGCTCAGATTAAGGAACACTACCACAACACAATCCATTTTTTTTAAATATTGAGAAGTGCTCTTATACACGAGTGAGTGTTTCTTTTCTCCATCACCAAATTAGCATTGGTATTAACCACCACCAGTAAATCTCCAGTGTTTCCAATCGAATAATTTATGTGCAAAGCCTGTTAAGGGCAAGACAGAATTAGAATTAGAATTGGAATTAGCCTTAGTGAATTAGAATTAGAACAATGAAAGATAAGAGAGAGGTAGGGAGCTAAATCAAAATAGAGTTGAAGGGGAAGAATACAGCTATTTTGTTTTTACTTATATCCAGAAGTGCTTTTACGCACAACTGAATAGCTTTCCTGCCAGCAAATCACCATGACTTTATTTTTCCCTTCTTTAGTTATCACCAGTAAACCACTCATGTAGCCAATTAGATACTTAAGCACATCGCTCATTTTGGGCAATGCAAACCTTCAAAAGGAAGTAGGGACAGTGGGAAGGGACTAAATCAAAATGGAGTTGGAGAAAGAATCAAAGCACTGTATCCTCACGCCCGGTGCCTACTTCTGTCTAAAGGCCTGGATAGCATTGGTGGACTCTGCGTGCTCCCTCTCCAATGACGCCTAGAAGAATCCAGCTGTTATTTTATTTGCGTATTTTTCTAATCAGCCTGTTCAGAGATGTTATTGCACACAAAAACAAAAGCAGTGATTACTGGAAAATCTCAGCAGGTCAGGCAGCATCTGTGGAGAGAAATCAGAGTTAACATTTTGGGTCCAGTGACCGGCCTTCAGAAGTGATGGTAGCTAGGAAATTTTTTTTAATGCAGAAGATAGAGTAGGGGAGGGGATAAGGAGTAAATGATAGGTGGAGATAGAGCTCAAAGAGAGAGAAGAACAGTTGGACAGACAAAGGAATAGATAATGGTCAGTCTAGGAGAATGAATGCTACTAATGGGGACTATTAGTGGCTAACAATGGGTTGGTGTGTAATAGCAGACCATGTGATAACAACGCCTGGTGTGTGGAAGTTGAAGTAAGGACATGGGAGAAGGTACTTGAAGCCCTAAAATTGTTGAACTCAATATTGAGTCCAGAAGGCTGTAGAGTTCCCAAGCGGAAAATAAGGTGCTGTTCTTTCAGCTTGTGCTGAGCTTCACTGGAGCATTGCAGCAAGCCTGAGACAGAGATGTTGGCCAGGGAACAAGATGGTGCCTTGAAGTGGCAGGCAGCTGGAAGCTCAGGGTATTTTTTTGTGGACAAAACAAGGGAGGTGAGGGCAATTATGTGTCTGGTGGTGGCATCCCGCTGGAGGTGGTTAATGATCCTCTGGATGTGGATGCTAGTGGGATGGTGGGTGAAGACAAGGGGGACCCTATCGCTGTTGTGAGAGGGAAAAGACGGGAGGCTGAAGTGCAGGAGATAGGTCAGACCCAGCCCTGTCAACTATGGTGCTGGGTAATCCTCAGTTGAGGAAGAAGGAGGACATTTCGGAGGTGCCTTGTCAAAATTGGCATCATCAGAGCAGATGCGGCAGAGACAGAGAAACTGAGAATATCATTTATGATGAAAATGCAAGATGTTTGTACCATTTCAAAGAACCACTAATATCCAGTAGTTGGGTATTGAGTTTCTGTGCTGTAAAAGGTTAATATGAATATGTAAATAAGATAGTCTACATCATTGTTGGGAAATGGTGTAACACGGTTACTGGAAACCTGTTCTCTCTAGCAGCCTTGTGATAGAGGTGAAATTTTGTTCTGTACATAGTTAATATTTACAATGAGAATTTAAAAACAATTGTTTGTTGACAATCAAGACTCTTGTAATCTTCAATAATGCCCTTCCTGGATGCAACCAAATTAGAATAACAGAATTTCCGTCAGCAAACTGATATTTTCATGATTTGTCCATTTGTTTCAGTTCATTTTTGCAACATACGCTATTGAAGGGGCCCCAGCAGATGTCCAAATGGACGCAGAGAACAAGAAAGAGATCTATAGCAAACTGGAGCCACCATTTGAAGAGCTCTTTGATCAATTAGAGGAACACACTCTTATCTTGCTACTGGTACCTTGGAACCAAATGATTGAAGCGGAAATGTCAAGCTACAGTAAAGTAAGTCAATACATCCAACTGCTTTCTTGAATAAGATTTTCCAAATGGTCCATTTCATTTTTTTTGCTCAGTATTATATCAGATACATGGATGAATATGTTTTAACCCCCTATATTTCATATTTGTTCTTTTTTCTCCATATTGTAAACAATTTTGTGAAAGACAAAATGGACAGAGGTTTGCTCTGTAGTCAACCAGCAGCAACAGTGTGAGAGTGCAGGTACTCAGAACCCTCCTTGTGATGAAACAGCTACACTCCAACTGCCAACATGACTGAAATTAGCATTTAATGCATAACGTTCAGAGACTCACTAGTAAGTCTGTACAAGTTAATGGCCTATTTAAAGAGTCACAATTTATGTCCTCTGGAAAATCAGATCTGGAGAGAGACGCAGTAATTTTTGTTGAGGTTCATCCCAAACAGTCCCGTGATGCAGGACTCTGTGCTCAGTGGTCTGTTCCCTGGGATGCACACTGAGTCAAAGATCAACTGCACCTAGAGGACCATCAACCCGGTGAAAAATGCTCTTTGGTCTGTCCAAAACATTTTGGTCTTCCAGTATAAAGAGTTGGCTTCGACTGAGCGCTGCGGACTGACACATTCCAAAGTCCAGGACTATGCTGTGGGACACACTAAAGGTGGGGGCTGCTACTGCCCAGGCACAGTGTGGAAAGACGAAGGTCTTTCTGCCAAAGCATAACAGCGATCAGTTGTCAGACCCCTTCATTGCCTCAAAGTAAATACTTTGTAAATATTTTCTTCCTGTATCATATAAAATCACCCTTGTTATTTGTACAGTAGCTCTGTGGGACCTAAAATTCCAATGTATCATTTCTGATTCTTTATCCTCATTGAAAGATAACCTTTTCTATGTACTGTATTTATAGATGATTTTTTTTGCAAATAACAAAATGTCCTCTGAGGAGAAAGGGTAGAAAGATTACTGGGCAACCTGCTGAAAGTAATGCACAAAACAACACAACACAAACTACAGAGCTACCGATCAGAAAATATATGCAAATTTTTCAAATGATCTTGGTGCGCACCTCCGTTCAGTGTCTAGTCTGCATAAATTGTCCATTTAACCTGTGGTACAGCTGTTACATTTTAAGAAAAGCTGTAAATCTTAACCAAACACACAAAGTGCTGGAAAAACTCAGCAGGTCTGGTAGCATGTGTGGAGAGAGAAACAGAGTTAACATTTCAAGTCTCGTATGACAGAACGTTGTATCTTAGTGTCGTTCCTTGCTACTCAATGAAGATCTTTTATTTCTAGGTGAAGTTGGTAACGAAGACCCAGTATTTGGATTCAATATACTACAAGAAGCTTCAGGAATTGCAGAGGAAGTTTCTGCCCCATGAAGTAATTATTTATTTGGATCTAAAAAATAGGTTTATTTATTAAGAACATAGGAAAATAAGAAGGCCACTCAGCCCATCAGACCTGATCCGCCACTCAATGTGATGGTGGCTGACCAAACACTTCAATGACTTTTACTCAGTCCATCTCCTTAACATTGTATGCCACTGGTAATCAGCAATTTATCAACCTCTACGTCAAACAAATTCAAAGATTGAGCCTTCACAGCCCTCTGTGGTAGACAATTCCAAAGGTTCACAATCCTCCAGGTAAAGAAATTCTCCTCATCTCAGATCTAAGTGTCTATTTTCAAGTAGTGTGCCCCACTCTCTCCCCTGACCCCATTCTTGGTTCTAGAGTCCCCAGCTAGGGGACACATTATCTAGCTATTCCTCTAAGTTTTTTTTAAAATAAATTTCAAGGAAATAATATTGACACAAAACCAAGACAGCAGCCACTTTCCAGTTTTCAATTAACTAACCCTCGGTGACAAATTGATTTGTTTTTTGTATATGATGCTGGAATGTTTTTGGTAATGACCACTCTGAATTTAAACCCAGCCTGAACCAGCATTCCAAATATTTGATTAGCATCCTGTATTATCCAAAGCCGAAGTCTACAATTTATATACTTCTATACATTGCAGGACTTTTGCCATTCTCTGAGATAGGAAGCATCTATCTATTACTGATATATAATTAATATTAATGCATTTCTCTCTCTCCCCATTCCCCAAGAACAATGCCTTACTGGTACTCGGGTCCTGAGTCAGCATTTCATTATGTGTGATAAACAGTAATTTCAAAGGCCTCAAATGTCAATTTTGTGAGTGAAGGTGTGTGTGCAATATGCAACAGTCAGGGTTCAGCTTCCACTTCATCGTTGTAACTTACGTGTTGAGAAAAACAAGTTTGAATAATTAAATTTGTCAGTATTTGAAAGCTTATTTTGATGTAGGTAGGCCCATACCACTTGTAAATAATTAAATTTGTCAGTATTTGAAAGCTTATTTTGATGTAGGTAGGCCCAGACCACTTGTAGATGATCTGCTCGGTTATTTTCTTGGTAACAGTGAAGGGCAAAAGAGTAACTAGAGAGAGAATAGGGGCTATTAAAGACCAACAAAGTCATCTATGCGTAGAGCCAAAAGAGATGGATGGGATCCTAAATGAATATTTCACGTCAGTATTTACTGTTGAGAAAGGCATGGATGTTAGGAAACTTGGGAAACTAAACAATGATATCTTGAAGAGGGTCCATATTACAGAAGATGAGGTGCTGGAAATCTTAATAAGCATTAAGATGGATAAATCTCTGGGATTTGATGAAATGTATCCCAGAACTTTGTGGGAGGCTAGGGAGGAAATTGCGGGGAGTCTAGCGGAGATATTTGTTTCATTGGCAGCCACAGGTAAAGTGTGCAAAGATTAGAGGGTGGCTAATTTTACGTCATTATTTAAGAAAGGCTGTAGGGAAATGCCTGGGAACTACAGACTGGTGAGCCTAATGTCTGTGGTGGGAAAGTTGTTAGAAGGGATTCTGAGACACAGGCTTTACAGGCATTTAGAGAGGCAACGTCTCATTTGAGATAGTCAGCATGGCTTTGTGCATGGGAAATCATGTCTCATGAATTTGATTGAGTTTTCTGAAGGGGTGACCAAGAAAGTAGATGAGGCCAGTGTGGTAGACATTGTCTACATAGTACTGCATGGGATCCAGGGAGAGTTAGCCAATTGGATACAAAATTGGCTTGAAGGTAATAGACAAAGGGTGGTGATAGAGGGTTGTTTTTTAAACTGGAGGCCTGTGACCAGTGGTATGCCACAGGGATTGGTGCTGGTCTACTGTTATTTTTCATTTATATAAATGATTTGGTTGAGAGTTTTGGAGGTACGGTCAGTAAGTTTGCAGATGACACCAGGATTGGCGGTATAATGGACAGTGAAGAAGGTTATCAGGGAATACAATGAGATTTTGATCAACTGGGCCAGTGGGCTAAGGAATGGCAGATAGAGTTTAATTTAGATAAATGCGAGGTGTTGCAGGGTATGACTTACACCATCAGTGGTAAGGTCCTGGGAAATGTAGGGATATGGGTTGATAGGTCCTTGAAAGTGGAATCACAGGTAAACAGGGTGGTGAAGAATGCTTTCAGCAAGCTAGCTTTCATCAGTCTGAGATTGAGTATAGGATTTGGGACATCTTGTTGCAGTTGTGCAAGATTTGGTAAGGCCACATTTGGACTACTGTGTACAAATCTGGTTGCCCTACTAAGGAAAGGATATTAATAAACTAGAAAAATTGCAGAAAAGATTTACTAGGATGCCAGCTGGTCTGGAAAGTTTGAGTTAGAAGGAAAGGCTGGATAGTCTGGGACATTTTTCCCCTGGAGCATAGGAGACTGAAGGGTGATCTGATTGAGGTCTATAAAATCATGACAGGCATAGATAAGGTAAATAGCCAACAGCTTATCCTCACGAGTAGGGAAATCTAAAACTAGAGGGCATAGAATTAAGGTGAGAGGGGAGAGATACAAAAGGGTCCAGAGGAGCAATTTTTCACACAGAGGGTGGTGAGTGTCCAGAATAGGCTGCCAGAGGGTAGTGGCGAAGGCAAGTACAATTTAATCATTTAAGAAACATTTGGACAGGTACATGGATGGGATAGGTATGGAGGGATATGGATCAAATGAATGCTAATGGGACTAGTTTGTGAACACTGGGACAAATTGGGCTGAAGGCCCTGTTTCCATGCTGTAAACCTCTATGATTTTATGCCTCTATGACAGTGATGCAGAACAGGCATTGGGAAATGTAAACTCTGTTTTCTCTGACAGATTGTATGAAAGCATAACCTTGAGAGATAGCTGTCACTACGCTTACTCCAACTGTGACTGATCAGCACATCACAGGACTGTTTCAGGCAATTAATGGAAGGTCAGGATCCCCTGTATTTGGGCTTGGTTAGCTGAGTATCCAATGTGTTGAAGACAGGCAATAAAGTTGAAGGCATCTATTCTAATAATCAAACAATTCACAAGGTGTTCCCTGCATAAGCTTCTTACCTATGACCCTATGGGTTCTGCTGCATCTACTATTGATGCTGCCATCCATTCATTCCATAGTTGACAGCAGTGAGGAGAATCCATCAATAACTGCACAGAACAAGTTACCAGGCTTGAGCCCCAGCTACCGAAATAGGAGCAGGCGGGGATAGGAGGCTGCGCTGGGTTGGTGAGTTGGGAGTCTGCGCTAGGAGCAGGGTGTGGGGAGACCTGTATTGGGACTATAGTGTGGGGTGGCCTGCACGAGGAATAGGGTTTGGGGAGACCTGCAGAGGGAGCAGGGTGTGGGGAGGTCTGCACTGAGAGTCAGCCTGATTTTGCTTGGGAGAGATAGGAAGGTTGAAGGAAAGTTGAGAAGTCACAGGGGGAATGGGGAAGAGAAGTGCTAGGAGAGAACAAAATAAATTCATTTTATTCTGTTGTGCAAGCTACATCATTTTACATCCTCCAGTGCATTCTTTAAACAGGCAGTTGTTTCCTGTCACTTGAGATTGACGTCAGTTTTCTTTCCAGCCTTAGTGCCACATAGACGTGGCATTTTTAAGAAACTCAGCCAGTTAATGAAGCTAGATCTGTTAATATAACAGTGTTATCAATCTTCTTTGCAGTTTCCTGTCCAATCATCCATACAAGAAGAAATTGTGGAGGATCCCAGGAGTGCATGGAAATTTGTTCCAGAGCAATTCCATCATTATACGTTTCAAACGCTTCTTCACAATCGCTTAGAACTTGACCAATTCCAGGCATTCCTTAAAGAAAATTTAGCAGAGTAAGTTTCGAAGAATCTTTATGTAACACAAAATGGGGACGGCTGCACAATGTAGACTTACTCTTGCAGGCATGGCAAGCCTTTGTTAGCCATGCTGATTGTGGTGAGTGTTTGTACATAGAATAATCATTTTAGCAAATTTGTGAACATTAACATGTCATATTGCCATCAGACCATTTCTTGCATTACCTCTTCTACTCAACTGTTGCATGTTCTAATCAGTCATGCACTTTAGAACCACTGAGATACATGCCAACAGACACCATTTGAAAAATTACTTCTCTTTTCTTTAAAGGCAAATCATAATGGCTTGGTCAAGGAGGAAGGGCTGTTTGTGGTATTCCTATTTTAACGTTTATGCAGCATCTAAGTCTTTTCTGGAGTCGTGTGGTATATTTTAACATGGTTTGTGGTTTTACATTATTTAGAAAACCAAGTATTCTTCTGTTTGTTTAGAATTTTTCTATAACAATGATTCCAATTGAAATTCACAAAAATGTTATTCTGTTATCCAGCATGTGTAGGGGCAGGCAGTTGGGATAGATGGGTGGCAGTGCCGTTTACATGGATCTGATGGTTGCATGAAAGATATTCTTATAGACACCCAACAATTCAGTATTCTTTGAATAGAAAAAATCTTAAATCTAAATATCAAAAGAACAGTGCAATTTACTTGCTGTGTTCTGGAAACTCTGACAATTTTTCATCAGGGTCACCAGCAGAACTAGCACTTGTATCTTGAGCAGCAGCACATGTTGAGGGGTGAAGAGTTGGGGATCACAGATTCGACTAGCGATGACTGTAATGGAACCTGCAGGCAGACAGTACTGATAGTAGTGTCTGGCAAAACTGCCGCATAGTAGATGAACTATATGTTTATCGGAATTTGGCGCACCAAGTTCAAATAGATGTTTTTGAAGAAACTATACAAAAAATGGTACATTTTTAAAAAAATAATTACCAGTTGCTTGAGAATTCTGGATGCTTGGGTATCAGATAACAGAATTTGCTGTATTTCAATGTGATTCTAACTCCAAGGTCACTGTTACTGTGCAGTAAATACTCTATAACATGATATGTCCCCACCTTAATTTGATGCAGTAATAAAACTGCAATCCTTGGTTGCTTTGATAATTGTTTGTAACAACGTGGTATTGTCAAAAATGGAAAACCGTCTTTCTTGTAGCATGGATCTCAACTGCTGGATGGACATTGAATTCTATGCAAATATATCTCGCCATGAAAAAGAAAGTAAAAATATCAAATCCAAAGAGATCATCAACAAATATATGAATCGAAAGTATTTCTTTGGACCCAGCAGCCCTGCTACAAAACCACAACAGGAAGAGGTAATTGCCTAAATGGTTTAGTGCTTCAAACTGTGATTCAAGGTATCAAGAAGATAACATTTAAATGTTCCAACCAAAGTGATTTGCAGATGACTGTGGAGTTTGCCTACCTAGTTTCTTGCCATATACAGGTTTTCATCTTTCACTCTCCATTAATGGGTTTCCTGAGGGTTGAGAAACGTGACCACTTCATACAGGTGAGCATTTGGTGGATTCAGGAGGTAAATGGCTCCACCCCTATGCTCCCCACTGGATAAACATAGCTATTTGAGCCTCCATAATCTGGCACTCGTGATGACCTCCAACATGGGGCCTCTCTTCCTAATAACCAGTGCTTCAGAAAGCTTTGGTTCCCCCACATCATACCACCATACAAGGCCTCCGAACTCCAACCACAATCAGGTCCACAACAAGAGACCTCCAATCCTCCCCTCAGCTCACTGACCCAATTCCGTATGCTTCTCCGCTACTCAGTATCCGAGGTGTCCAACATGCATTCCTTGACATCCAGTTCCACTCCCCCTGCACTCTCAACCTCTAATCTGGTATCTCACCACTCCCCCTCCGGCCTGATCTTCAATCTCTGATAAGTGCCCTGGCAAGGCATTTCACACTGCCTCTCTGAAGGCCTGTGAATTCAATAAAGATGAATTGGAATATTTTCCTAATTGCTACAGACTAGGAAATGCAGAGGGGCAAAGGGTGCCCAAATATTCCAATCACTAAAAGCTAGTCACATGTCCAAAAATATTCAGAAAGGCTAATGCAATGGTAGTTTTTATCTCAAGTTAGCCTGGATACTAAGGATGGAAGTTACACTCCAGTTGTAGACAGGTGTACTGTGCTCTGTTTTAGGCACCACACTGCTGGAAGAGTACAATGGCCTTAGAAAGAGTCTAGCAATTATTCACTGGAATTATACCATAGCTTCAGTTGAATTATGAAGATGTATTTCATAAACTTGCACTATATTCCTTTGTGTTTAGAAGGTTGAGGGAGTGACTAAAATACAGACAGTATTTATTATGATTTATACAGAAAAAATCAATTTCTTCTAGTGGGGAAATTCAGAGCATGTGGACATAATCTTTAAATGAAAAGAAGACCTTTAAGGATTGAGGCCAACAACTGGCTATGAATACTGGGTCAGATGAAATTTTATAATGAAAAATTATACAAAATAACAGGGAAATTAGAACACATTTTGGTGATAGTAATCACAACTCCCTGACCTTTACTAAAGTCATGGAAAGGGATAGGAGCAGACGGTATGGGAAAGTATTTAATTTGGGGAGGGGGAATTACAATGCTATTAGGCAAGAACTGCGGAGCGCCAGTTGGGATCAGATGTTCTCAGGGAGATGCACGATAGAAATGTGGAGGTTGTTTAGGGAGCAGTTGCTACAGGTACTGGATAGGTTTGTCCCACTGAGGCAAGGAAAGGATGGTAAGGTGAAGGAACCTTGGATGACAAGAATGTGGAACATCTAGTCAAGAGGAAGAAGGAAGCTTACTTAAGGTTGAGGAAGCAAGGATCGGACAGGGCTCTACAGGTCTACAAGGTAGCCAAGAAGGAACTGAAGAATGGACTTAGGAGAGCTAGAAGTGGGTATGAGAAAGCCTTGGCGGGTAGGATCAAGGAAAACCCCAAGGCTTTCTCTACTTATGTGAGGAACAAGAGGATGGCCAGAGTGAGGGTAGGGCCAATCAGGGATAGTGGAGGGAACTTGTGTGCGGAGTCAGAGGAGGTAGGGGAGGTCCTTAATGAATACTTTGCTTCAGTATTCACCAGTGAGAGGGACCTTGACATTTGTGAGGACAGCATGAAACAGGCAGATATGCTCAAACAGGTTGATGTTAGAAAGGAGGATGTGCTAGAAATTTTGAAAAGCATGAGGATAGATAAGTCCCCCGGGCCAGACGGGATATACCCAAGGTTACTACGGTAAGTGAGGGAAGAGATTGCTGCCCCTTTGGCAATGATCTTTGCGTCCTAACTGTCCACTGGAGTAGTACCAGAAGATTGGATGGTGGCAAATGTCATTCCCTTGTTCAAGAAAGGGAATAGGAATAATCTTGGAAATTATAGACCGGTCAGTCTTACTTCTGTGCTGGGCAAATTATTGGAGAGGATTCTGAGAGATTCTGGAAAAGCAGAATTTGATTAGAAATAGTCAGCATGTCTTTGAGAGGGGCAGGTCATGCCTCACAAGCCTTATTGAATTCTTTGAGGATGTGACAAAACACATTGATGAAGGTAGAGCAGTCGATGTGGTGTATATAGATTTTCAGCAAGGCATTCGATAAGGTTCCACATGGTAGGCTTATTCAGAAAGTAAGGAGGCATGGGATTAGGGAAGTGATACAAAACTGGCTGTCCAATAGAAGACAGAGGGTGGTAGTAGATGGAAAGTATTCAGCCTGGAGCTCGGTGACCAGTGGTGTTCCGCAGGGATCTGTTCTGGGACCTCTGCCCTTTGTGATCTTTATAAATGACTTGGATGAGGAAATAGAAAGGTGGGTTAGTAAGTTTGCCGATGACACGAAGGTTGGTGGAGTTGTGGATAGCGTGTAGGGCTGTTGTAGGTTGCAACGGGACATTGATAGGTTGCAGAGCTGGGCAAAGAAGTGGCAGATGGAATTCAACCCACAAAAGTGTGAAGTGATTCATTTTGGAAGGTTGAATTTGAATGCAGAATACAGGGTTAATGGCAGGATTCTCAGCAGTGTGGAGGAACAGAGAAATCTTGGGGTCCACATCCATAGATCCCTCAAAGTTGCCACCCAAGTTGATAGGGCTGTAAAGAAGGCGTATGGTGTGTTGACTTTCATTGGCAGGGAAATTGAGTTTCAGAGCCGCGAGATTATGCTGCAGCTCTATAAAACCCTGGTTAGACCATACTTGGAATATTGTGTTCAGTTCTGGTTGCCTCATTATTGGAAAGATGTGGAAGCTTTAGAGAGGGTGCAGAGGAGATTTACCAGGATGCTGCCTGGACTGGAGGGCAGGTCTTATGAGGAAAGGTTGAGGGAGCTAGGGCTTTTCTCATTGGAGCAAAGAAGGATGAGAGGTGTCTTGATAGAGGTGTACAAGATGATAGAGGCATAGATAGAGTGGATAGTCAGAGACTTTTCCCCAGGGCGGAAATGATTATTATGGGGGGGCATAATTTTAAGGTGATTCGAGGACGGTATAGGGGAGATGTCAGAGGTAGGTTCTTTACACAGAGAGTGGTGGGCGTGTGGAATGTGCTGCCAGCAGTGGTAGTGGAGTCAGATACTTTGGAGACTTTTAAGCGACTCTTGGATAGGCACATGGATGATAGTATAATGTAGGGTAGATTGATCTTAGTAGGATAACAGGTCAGCACAACATCGTGGGCCGAAGGGCCTGTACTGTGCTGCACTGTTCTATGTTCTACGTTCTAAGAGTGAGTTATACAGAAGCCAGTTGTGATATTAAAACTATTAAACAGCATTGCTTTAACTCATTTAATAGTTTTGCCATCCTATGCTAAATGACAATGGAGTGATGAGTATGCAGGAACAAAGCTTAAAGGCCCCTAATACTTGACTGTGCCTAATTTAGTTTAAAGTTTAAAACAAATCCATTAAACTGTAATATGAAGAGATCAGGTTTTTTGGGGAATTATTAATACCTTTCCCCAGGTCTGAGGGTACTGTTCTACCAACACCTGATGATTGACTTCCTTAGGAAGTCACTTACAACCCCTAACATTTTACCTCCTTGTACCTAGTTTTTCACATCTCTGTCACTTTAATGAGGTTTCCACCAACATTAAAGTAACATAGATCAGAAACTCTTAAGTTCTGGTGACCTGATACTCCTCAGTCTCCTGACAAGATATATCTCCAACTAGTAAGTATAGACTGATGCGTAATTTCATAAATTTACAGTCTTTACATACTGGATAACATGTACTGGGAATTCAGAAACTTTATATTCACAAAAATCAATGGATGTAAAATCATTGCAGCACATGGTAAGGGTAGGAGGGTGTGTGCTCACATTTTTTCTAAGTCCTCCCTGCATGCAAGCTCAACATCAGGAGCAAGAATTCATACAACTGACCTCCAAAATAATTCAATATTGCTTGGGAGGGGATTATAGGTAAATATAGAGGATTTGTTTTGGTGGAAAATAAATGGTAGCAAACTTTGATGTTCTACATGCCACCTGACTTTCCTTGCTATTGCTTTCAGTGGAACACCAAATTGGTGGGCTGTACAGTAGGGTTTACCACCTGCTTTTCCTCACTCCTGGAAGTTAAAATCAGCTCCTAAAGGTTTTGATCTCTTTCTGCATAAGTATTCTCTTTGTTTTTTGAGAAATACAATGCTGTATAATTAATAGGAAACCTGAAGATTTAGATTATCAACTGCTTAGAAATAGATACAACTTACTGAGCTTCATGTACCAAGACCACATATTGTTAATAGATGCAAAGTCACACATGCAAATTTCCAACTAAAGCTTTGCAACAGAAGTACAAGTACATAAATATTGTGAAAAAAAATGTTTAGTAGCAAACTTCAGCAAAAATGAAGAAACATAAATATAATTCTTCTGTCTAGGTGTTGGCATTGGCTGGTGGACAAGAAAAATTGCTCCACAATCTGTTGTCTTCAGAAGTTGCACTGGAGGTGCAAAGATATGCAAAAGATCGTTTGGAAAGACAATGGCTACCAATGTTTCTATCCACACCAGAGTTTGCTGAAAGTCAACAGATACGGGTAGGTTTGCCATGCACTTGACCAAACTGTTTTACCAAACTTCAAAGTCAACACTAAGGGTCAGATTTTGTGAAGTCAGTGAGATTCTGTGGACTTCTAATAATGGCAGGTGAGGTGCAGCTGAGGCCTGGATGTAGCAATTCAGCCCCCGTTTCCAACAGGCCCAAATTTGTCATTGAGGGAAAGGGTGGTGGTGGTGTGATGTAGGTGGCAAACCCAAAATCAGCAGGGCCATAAAAAAGATCCCATTTTGGCTGCTTTGGCTGATCCTTGAAGTGATCCTTGTTCCTTGATCTTGGTGCTAGGAGTTACAAATTGATGAAGTAGATGTAAAGATTCTTAAGGGTGGGTAAAGTTTGTCTAAATATCTAAATTTTAAGTTTTTTCTTTAAATCACACACATTTTAAATGTGATAACAACAGGCTGAAACTGGTAAAAAGAGTTAATAAAAACACTGTCTGCTGGACTGACTTGATGAACTGGGCCTTAGTTAGAAAGAAAATTACCATTTACTCTTGTAGTTTCAATCAAGTTCTTTGTGCAATTTCCCAAGGCCAGTTATGGTGTTGTGATTATTGCCTACCTGGGCTTTAAAAGGTACAGCAGCAGGTTTGAAGTTCACAAGCTGATTGATAGCTAAAGTGGCTATTAAAGGTTTAGATATCTTTGATGTGGAGTCCAAATAGTTGCTTTATTTTGAATAACAGATTAACAGTTCGTAGTTTTAACGCTTTGAACGGGTTTCACAAATGATAGTTTGTCAGTCAGTCAAGGGTTTATCTGATTACAGTACGGAGGTTGGTCAAGGTCATTCAGTGGCGTGATCATTCCACTGACCGGGGATCATTGACTCTGCTGTATTGCAAAGTACAGATTGGGCCATGGTCAGTCTTACAGGTGAAGCCCAACCAGATTGGGGATTACGTGTCATAGAGTCATAGAGATGTACAGCATGGAAACAGACCCTTCGGTCCAATTTGTCCATGCCATCCAGATGTTTTAAATTAATCTAGTCCAATTTGTCAGCATTTGGCACATATCCCTCTAAACCCTTCCTACTCACATACCCATCCAGATGCCTTTTAAATGTTGTAATTGTACCAGCCTCCATCATCTCCTCTGGCAGCTCATTCCACACATGCACCACCCTCTGTGTGAAAAAGTTGCCCCTTAGGTCCCTTTTAAATCTTTCCCCTCTCACCTTAAACCTTTGCCCTCTAGTTTTGGACTCCCATACCCTGGGGAAAAGACCTTGTCTATTTACCCTATCTATGCCCCTCATGATTTTACAAACTTCTTTAAGATCACTCTTCAGCCTCTGACACTCCAAGGAAAATAGCCCCACCTATTCTGCCTCTCCCTATAGGTCAAACCCTCCAACCCTGGCAACATCCTTGTAAATCTTTTCTGAACCCTTTCAAGTTTCACTACATTTTTCCTATAGTAGGGAGACCAGAATCGAACGCAGTATTCCAATAGTAGCCTAACCAATGTCCTGTACAGCTGCAATGTCTCCTAACTCCTATACTCAATGCACTGACCAATAAAAGCAAGCACACCAAATGCTTTCTTCACTATCCTGTCTACCTGCGATTCCACTTTCACGGAACTATGAACCTACACCCCAAGGTCTCTTTGTTCGGCAGCACTCCAAAGGGTCTTACATTCTGTATAAATCCTGCCCTGATTTGCCTGTCCAAAATACAGCACCCCACATTTATCAAACTTAAACCCCAACTGCCAATCCTTGGCCCATTTGCCCATCTGATCAAGGTCCCAATGTACTCTGAGGTAACCTTCTTCACTGTCCACTATCAATTTTGGTGTCATCTGCAAACTTACTACCATGCCTCCTACATTCACATCCAAATCATTTATATAAATGACAAAAATCAGTGGACCCAGCACCAATCCTTGTGGCATACCACTGGTCACAGGCTTCCAGTCTCTGCCACCACCCACTGTCTCCTATCTTGGAACCAATTTTGTATCCAAATGGCTAGTTCTCCCTGCATTCCATGTGATCTAACCTTGTTAACCAATCTATCATGTGGAACCTTGTTGACTGAAGTCCATATAGACAAGTATATCGGTTGGACACATATGTCTGGGGGCTGTTGTCACAAGTCAGTCTGGTGTTGGACCATGGTGAGTCCAGAGGTTTTGGTCAATAATGGTCAGGGATATTATCAGGAGGAGTCAATTGAGTTTTGGGCAATGTGAGAAACTCAAATCTGGGGAAAATCTGCATTATATTGTGATGGGGACAACTCCAAATGTAACAGTGAAATCTGGTGAAGGGCAGGAGTGCACCGGGTACTGCAGGAGTGGCGTATTTACCAGTCACCATCATTCTGGCTTCAATGGGAGGACCGTGGACCACTGTAATAGCCATGCCAATGTGGTAAGGCATGGACTAAAGGGGAAAATTGTGGATATTTAAGTAAAAGGGTTGGATAGGAACATGGAGAGCCTGAAAGTTGATGGGTATATCAGGGACAGAACACAATGCAGAATATAAAGTGTTGTTAGGTGAGGGGCTTTATCCTGACTATCAGGTGGAGCTTGTAACCCATTCACAGGAGTGTGAACTGGATAACATGCCATCTTTGACGAAACCTCAACTGTGCATCACAAGAGAAAAATGGTTGCCAACACATTCACAGAAGGCAGAGAGATTTTTTTCTGGTCTGTATGAATGGGTGGACATGTTGGTGATGTGAGGCCCTGCTAGGGGAAATTGCATTAATCAGGCATCTATAGATGCAGTGATGTCACCTGCCATCAAACTGCACTTCATCTGCAGCTCATGCATTAACCAACCATCCCCACATTAGAAACTTTAGCCTCAAGCAATCATGAACACTCTTTTGCCTATAATGATTGAATCCTTGTCAGCTTTGCAAAGCTGATGTGATCACAGGCAAATTTAAAATTGTTGCCTGCTTTCGCCAATTCACAAACACATTCAACAGGTTGCATTGCTGCACAATGCCTTGAAGCTACCTTTGTATGCCTTAAATTTGTAAGAACATTGTCATAATCAATGGTCCATTTCTTGATGTGTTGGTGTGGTGGTGTTTCAGGGAGCTGTAGGGGAAATGTGAGTGTAGTCCTGAACTTATAACCTCCTAATATTGTTTAGTGAAATGGCTTGTGCTATAGCTGAGTAAGGTGAACTAACACAAAGGTTCATGTAGAGACAGTACATTGTCCTTCTTGTTTTTTCTGTGAATCACATCTTTATTTTTATATTCTTCAAATAGTATCAGTGCACCCATTCTGAACAGATACAGCAAGGACTAGAGCTATTGTCACTGTTGTAGTAAATGTAGAAGGGGGCAACACTGTACTGCAGCAGTGGTTCAGTGGTTAGCACTGCAGCCTCACAGCGCCAGGGACCCGGGTTCGATTCCAGCCTCAGGCTGTGTGGAGTTTGCACATTCTCCCCGTGTCTGCGTGGGTTTTCTCCAGGTGCTCCGGTTTCCTCTCACAGTCCAAAGATGTGCACGCTAGGTGGATTGGCCATGCTAAATTGCCTGTAGTGTTCAGGGGTGTGTGGGTTATAGGGGGATGGGTCTGGGTGGGATGTTCCAAGGGTCAGTGTGGACTTGTTGGGCCAAAGGGCCTGTTTCCCCACTGTAGGGATTCTATTCTATGTTGGTGGACTCCTCCAACCTTTGATTCAGTTTATCAAATGTCTCTGACAAACCTATCTGCTGTTCCTCTTGTTTACAGAGAGTGGTTAGTGTGTGGAATGAACTGCCAGAGGAAATGTAGATGCAGGTACAGTTATAACTTTTAAAAGATATTTGGATAAGTACATGAATAGGAAAGGTTTGGAGGGATATGGGCTAAGTGCAGGCAGGTGGAACTAGCTTAGTTTGGGAACATGGTCAGCATGGACTTGTGAGACCGAAGGGTCTGTTTCCATGCTGTATGACTCTATGTTAAACTGCACATTTGCATAAAATTATTGGTGGCTAACACCATGGGATCATCTTCTGCCTGGGGTTGAGCAGGTGCCTAGTCTTTGACAGTGTTCTGAGTACCAATGACCTGAGGCATTTCTTCCTTGACCAGCTGCAGAGATGTGTCAGTGGTATGTTCACCAGATTGTTCTCCTGGTTCTAATCTAGATAGAATACTCAATGAGGTAGAAAGTCTTTAAATTGGTGGAGAGTTCAGGAGAAAGCCTTGCTGGTGCATCCTCTGGGGATTCAGTGGCTACCTCTTTGGAGGTAGAGGAGGAGCTGATGTGTTCAGGTGCTAGCCTTTTTGGCATGCTGTTTGCATAAGACAAGAGACTATTAGGGTGCAGTAGGGGTAGAAACTTGAGCATCTTAAGAGAGAGAGTTAACTATGATAGTCATGACAGCAACGCAGCTCAGAAAGATGAAGCTTGCTGGGTAGCTGGACATGGAATTTTCATCATCCTCTCATGAACAGAGTCGATCCTCTCTAGCATCTCGAGGATCTTCTCCTCAGAGTGTTGAGGAGCAGAATGTCTTTCTGAACCAGCGTGATATTTCCACTTTGCAAGCAGCTACCCTATTTTGCATCTGATTAAGACGTCCAATTTAATGATAATTATTATGCAACTGTGGGTGGTTTTGTGCAATGTCTCAAGTAACTGGATAAAACATGATTTTAGTATCCTTTCAGCCCAAAGTTTAAAAATATCTTTTGTACGTTTTGTCCAACATCATAGAATCCTTACAGTGTGGAGACAGGCCATTTGGCCCAACAAGTCCACACTGCCCCTCCAAACAGCATCCCACCCAGACCCATTCCCTTAATTTCCCATGTCTAACCCAACTAACCTAAACACCCCTGGGCACTATGGGCAATTTAGCATGGCCAATCCACCTACCCGGTACATTTTTGGACTGTGGGAGGAAACCGGAGCACCCGGAGGAAGCCCACACAGGCATGGGGAGAACATGCAAACTCCACACAGACAGTCACCTGAGGCTGGAATTGAACCCGGGTGCCTGGCGCTGTGAGGTAGCAGTGCTAACCACTGAGCCACCGTGCCGCCAACATAGAATCACGTGGCACAATAATCATTCAATCCATTGTACTTAAGAGCTGTGGAATAACTATCTAATTTATTAATTAGATTGTTCCCCATTAACTTTGCAAATTTTCTCTTTTCAAGTATTAGTATATATCCAATTCCCAGGGCTCTGCAGCACAGTGGTAGCATCCCTACCTCTGGACGAGGAGGATGAAGTTTAAGTCCTATCTGCTTCAGAGCTGTGTCATAACGTCTCTGAACAAGTTGGTTAGAAAATATCTATATACAATTCCATCTTGCACATTTGAAACACATGGCACAACTAAATGAAATGTTTTGAAATCTGCATTTTGATCCTGAAGTTCTATTGGTTGGTGTCTGTTCTCCAGATAAAATTGCAAGAGGTGATAGAGGACCAGATGTTATACAAGAGCAGGAAGAAGCGAGATGTAATGAAGGTGAGAGTCCACATCTCCAACATTATACATTGGCAGTTCAAACAAATCATTAGCGTATCTGAATTGTCAGTCTTTACAAATGGTGATAAGCTGAAATACAGCTAATTGAAAATCTAATAAGCTGAATAGTTTTGTTTCATTGTAACATCCATTTTCCTTTGAAAAACAAAGATTGATACTAAAAATGAAAAAATATATGAACATACAAAACTGACAGATATGAAAAGATCAGCTTCTCCACGACCCTGTCTACATGTTTCATATTAATTTACAACTGAACTCTTTGTTACTCCTATTAATATGGGTCAGGATGGAAGAATTTTTAATTTATTTAGTGTTTGGTAGAGGGAGCAAATCAAGAATAATTTTCAATTTGGGCGTCGGCAGGGACTGATAACCTAGAAAAATGTTAATGCTTGCTGCCTCTAACCTGCTGACTTTGTTAAATCAATCCAATGTATTCAACTACATGTGAGCAACCTCACTGTGAGAGATAGTAGGAGCTGCCGATGCTGGAGAATCTGAGATAACAAGGTGTAGAGCTGGATGAACACAGCAGGCCGGGCAGCATCAGAGGAGCTGGAAAGCTGATGTTTCGGGTCTGGACCCTTCTTCAGAAATGTAAACCTTCACCTTAAGTGTAAAAATGTTCACCCTTATCTGCTTTCCGGAGGGACTGCTCTCTCCGTGACTCCCTTGTCCGCTCCACACTCCCCACTAGCCCCACCACCCCGGCACTTTTCCCTGCAACCGCAGGAAGTGCTACACCTGCACCTACACCTCCCCCCTCACCCCCATTCCAGGCCACAAGTAGGCCTTCCACATCAAACAGATGTTCTCCTTCACATCTGCTAATGTGGTATATAGTATCGGCTGTTCCCAATATGGCCTCCTCTACATCGGGGAAACCAAGCGGAGGCTTGGAGACTGCTTTGTGGAACACTAAGGAGACATTGCAGGTTGTTCTGTAAATTCTGTATCTGATGAGTTTAGTTTGTTGTCCAACCTTCATTAAAACAAAATTCTTAAGTTTATCAACATAGTAATACATTTGCTGAAATTTACTTGCATACACAGAGGAAAGCTTTTGTTCATAACCCAAATTTATGGTATACAGACCTTTTAATTTGACTTGTACCTCAATCTAACCATAATACTGAGACATACCTTTTGGAACATCTCAAAGCATTCTACATGGATTAAGATTTTATTGAAATGCAGTCACTCTTATATTGATATTTCTAGTAGTCGTTTTATACAAGATCTTACAAACATTGGCGATGAATAGTCAAATAAAAAATAACTGCAAAAAAACTCTCAAGTTAATCAGTTACAGAAATGAGAAAAAATGTTACCTATGATGATGCCAGGTAAAACAGAATTGTAAATGAGTGAAGTGGAGAAACAAAAGATAGGTCTAGAAAAGGTGTGACTGGCAATAGCAGAATCAGTAACAACAGTTGCTGTCTGAACAGTGGAAGCAGTCAAATTAATCAAATTACTGCACACAATTAAACGCAAAATGCTGTGGATGCTGGAAATCCTGAAATAAAGGCAGAAAGTGCTGGATAAACTCTGTGTCATGCACATTTTCTTCATGAGAAATTTCTTCAACTCGAATGTGGTGGGCTGATGGAATTCTCTGTCACAGAAAGTAGTTGAGGACAAAGCATTGAATAGTTTCAAGATGGAGTTGGATGTGTCAGAGGCTGAATGGATAGGGTGAATAACCAAGGTCTTCATCCAGGGTAGGGGATTCCAGAACTTGAGGGCATAGTTTTAAGGTGAGAGGGGAAAGATTTAAAATGAACTTGAGGGGCAACTTGTTCACATAGAGAGCGGTGCATTTATGGAATGAGCTGCCATAGGAGATGGTGGAGGCACGTACAATTACTACATTTAAAAGGCATTTGGATGGCTACATGCAGGAAGGGTTTTGAGAGATATGGGCCAAATGGGACTTGATCAGTTTAGCATATCTGGTTGGCGTGGACAAGTTGGACTGAAGGGTCTGTTTCCATGCTGCATAACTCTATAACTCTATGACTCTATGACCTATACTCGCTTCGTGACAAATGACTGCACCTCCCAGTCGCGAACCACTTCAACTCCCCCTCCCACTCCTTGGACGACATGTCCATCCTGGGCCTCCTCCAGTGCCACAATGATGCCACCCGAAGGCTGCAGGAGCAGCACTTCATATTTCGCTTGGGAACCCTGCAGCCCAATGGTATCAATGTGGACTTCACAAGCTTCAAAAACTCCCCACCCCCGACCTCATCCCAAAACCAGCCCAGCTCGACCCCGCCTCCTTGACCTGTCCGTCTCTTCTCCCACCTATCCGCTCCTCCCACCTCACTGACCAACCCTCACCCCCACCTGCTACCTACCAGTCTCATCCCCGCCTCCTTGACCTGTCCATCTTCCCTCAATTGACCAACCCCCATCCTAACTCCCTACCTACACTCACCTTTACTGGCTCCATCCCTGCCTCCTTGACCTGTCCATCTTCTCTCCACCTATCTGCTCCTTTATCCACCTTCCATCATCACCTCCCCCTCTCTCTCTATTTATTCCAGAGTCCCCTTCCCCTCCCCCATTTCTGAAGAAGAGTCCAGACCTGAAACGTCAGCTTTCCTCCTCCTCTGATGCTGCCTGGCCTGCTGTGTTCATCCAGCTCTACACCTTGTTATCTCACTGTGAGAGGTTGCTTATCAATTTCAATACATTAGTTACTCAATTACAGAAACATTAATAGATGGTTTGCGGTTTAAATTTGCATCTATGGATTTCCTGGGATTCCTTGAGCTCACTAATTAAAGCAAGATGATAACACAGAAGCTGTTGAGAGGGGTTTGGTGGGTATGACAAATAAATATACCAGTTTCAGGAAAAAATAGCAAGAAGAGGGAAATATACCACTGAATACTCAATACAGATGGCTGCTTTCCAACCTGATTATGTGTAAAGAGTGACTATGAAGGAGTGATATGAAATTGCATAATATTGAGATGAGTGTTGCTGGTGAATAGACAGATCACGATGTGAGGAAGTGCACAGACAAAGAGGGCAGGTAGCACTTTCAAGATGAGTTATATAGTCATAGAATTGTTCTAAACCCAACAGGAGGCTGGGGAGAAGTGAAGGCTGATATGCATATCAGCATCTATCTGAATATTCTACACCTTTCCTGCCCAGTTGAAAGTATTGAGCCATTTCTTGCCTTAGACCTAGGGATGTAACGCCCTGTTGCTGAGTTATATGCTAGCTTCAATCTATCTTCTTGGTGTTCCCAGTCATCTAAACTCAAAATGCTAAATTGCTCTCTCTCTATGGATGCTGCTTGATCTGCTAGAAGAACAGAGTGTCCTCAGTTTAAGCTGAATTTAACAGCAGGATCTGACTTCCCATTTTGACATTGGTTTACCAGCCATAGTTAGCCAGATGGAGATGGAGATTCAGGGTAGGGTGGCAGGGGGCACTGGAATAGAGTGCTCATCATATGGCCACAGTTGGGTGTAAGAGAGATTGGATGGAGTGATGGTGGTCATGGGGTACCTCATGGCGTGGGGCTGAGAGGAATTTGAGTGTGAGGGGACATTAATGGGACCAGGTGAAATGTCAGAAAATTATGGAGAAGCCCAGAGAGATTAGGAGGGCCAAGAGGCAATCATGGGCCATTGAAGACATCAGAAAGGCATTAGTTCATGATGGGAGTGTGGAAATTCAATTGTTAGGGAGATTAATGGGGTTGCTTATGGGGCTATAGGTTGCGAGGCATTCCTGCTTGCTTCATCAACATCACAAGCAGTGCTGGAAAAGCACTTACCTCTTCCATGAAGCAGTCCTCACTTCCCTTTAACCCACAAAGACCCGAAAAACCACTCAGTCAGCATCAACTCTAGGAGGAAGATAAATTGGAGCAATGCACACGTCTCTAAAATTTCTTTAGAAGTGTTAGCTCAGATTACGAAGGTCAAATGGCTTCCTTCTGTGGTATTCTAAAAATCAATGAAATGAACAAGCTGACTCTTGGTTGGCAGGTTGCTCTCTACCCACCATTCCACCTCTTGGGAAATGGGCGTTTGACACAGACTGGATTGTGGTTTGAATTTTTTTTACATTTTGACATCCCACCTGATCCAAACCCATTCAATATTGGGGGTGGTGGTAACACTCCCCACCAAGTTTCACGTAGTGAACTGTCACCTGAAGTTAAATCGAAATGGGATTTTAAATGGTAGATGCTTGATGACCAGCTTGGACACAATGTTATGTATAACTCTATAGTTCTAAAAACAAAAGTTTAAATTTTAATTCCTGGAAATTTTCAAAGCTCCAATCATCATATGGATATAATTCAGTTGCATTGGCTACAATCTTATCTTTTTAAAGCCACAATGTTGCTTCTCTCCAAATGCTATTGTATGGGTTTCTAAGGGTTTAATGGACTTTGATATGGAAACTGCTGGCAGCAAAATGTTTACAGAATGACTGTTCTCTTTGAATAGTTTGTGAAACTGCACATGATGTAAGTGATTATGAACATTTATATTTCCAATAGCACATGGAAAATAAATGGACTGCGTCGTCAAAAGAGATCATAGCATTCCGTAAAGCTTTGTTAAATCCAGTAACGGCACTTCAATTTCGAAAGTTTGTATCAACAAAAGGAGAATTGATGGAGAATAATGTACTTTTTTGGCTTGAGGTTCAAAAATACAAGGTAAACAAAATACCAGAAAATGAAGAATGATTTTAAAAGAATTAAATAAAAATTCAAAACTAGTTCCAAATGAGTCAGATGTTTAACCTACACAAAATTACTTGAACAAAGAATGTTGCTGAAAAAAATAGTGTGCCCACATAACTGTGTATATGGATTGCATTTCACATCCTCTGCAGTTGGCTGTAAAATGGGTGGGAAGGTTTCACCCATAGCTGGGTGAAGTATTGCCTGCACCTGGCAGGAATCCCAGCATTTTTAGTTTTGGAATATATGTGTTTATGTGTGTGTTTGTGTTGGGCTCCTGGGTCATCTCCCTTTAACCAATGTCGATGACCTCTTGAGACTGACCACTCAACTTACCTTCCAGCCTGCCCCCTCACTGAATCCCCTGGCTCTAGACTTACATGGACTCCTCCGCATGGTGGGTCTGCCTGCAGTCCGAGCAGTGATACCACTCCTGGCTGGCACTGCTGGGACTGCCGAGATGCCCCCAATATGTGATTTGTTGGCAACTTTCTAAGGTGGGACATCTTCCCAAACTTAAAACAATTCACACTGCCCCCATTGTTAAATTGCTACGTGGCAGTGATCAGGATCATGTTGGGGTTCCCTCACCTTCAATTTTTTGCCAAAGAATGGTGGCATGGGGACTGCAGCATCTTGTAAAATCCAGCCGTATTAATTTTGCTTGCATTTGTGTGCGTGTATGCACCTCTTTTTATTATCTGTATCTGTCTACATAGAGAGATTACAGACTCCCTTTCTGTGTTTATTTTTCTTCCAGGACTTGTGCCATTCCCATGCAACTGTGGAAACCATTCAGAATAAGATCACAGTCATTATCAACTGTTTTATCAATTCCAATATTCCACCAACTTTGCAAATTGACATTCCAGCAGAATATGCAAATAGAATTATTAGTCAAAGGGATCAGCAGGGTCCATATATCTTCAGAGAAGCACAGGTATAGAAAGAAATGTGAAGGACCCCACAAAAATGGCTAAACAGCATTTTGGAGCAATGTGCATGATCATTCATTAATGTTCATGAAAGGAAGTTCATTTAGTAATTAGTTGTGTAAGTTTTGTTCACTCCTAGCTCACTGAGGCCAGAACTTCTGCATGTCCAGCTTTAAACAAAAATTTTCATTGTGCATTTGGGTATTGATGCTATTCGATTCCCAGTGGGAAATAATTTTACTTGTGCAATGTAGGTAAGTCACATGAGAAAATAAGACATTATTTACATTACAAAGTGCTTACAGCACAACAATAAGCGCTTTAGCTTTATAATTTCATGCCAGTGCTTTTGAACTCATCCCTAACTTAATCCAACACCATCAACATATTCTCATAGAATCCCCACAGTGTGGAAACAGGCCATTTGGCCTAACAAGTCCACACTGACCTCTGAAGAGCATCCCACCCAGATCCATCTCCCTACCCTATCCCTGCATTGCCCATGGCTAATGCACCTAACCCACACATCCCTGGACAGTTCTCAGCAATTAGATCATGGCTGATATGTTTCTCAACCCCATTCTCCTGCCTCTTCCCTGTAACACTGATCCCTTTACTAATCAAGAATCTATCTATCTGTCTTAAATACACTTAATGACTTAGTCTCCATAGACTTCTGCAGCAGTGAGTTCCATAGATTCACCACCCTCTGGTTGAATAAATTTCTCCTCATCTCAGTTCTAAACGGAGATCCCTTCACTTTGAAGCTGTGCCCTTGGATCCTAGTCCCTCCTACTCGTTGAAACATCTTCTCCACATCTGCTCTATTCAGTACTCTCAGATTCCTGGTTCAATGAGATCCCTCCTCATCCATCTAAACTCCATTATACGACAACACTTCATCCCTGGATCATTACTGTAAATCTCCTCTGGGCCCCCTCCAATGCCAGCACATCATTCCTTAGATACAGGGTCCAAAACTACTCACAATATTCCAAATGCATTCTGGCCAGAGCCTTACACAACCTCAGCAATACATGTCTGCTCTTGTATTCTATTCATCTCAGAATAAATGCTAACATTGTAGTTACCTTCCTAACTGTCAATTGAACCTATATGTTAACCTAAAGAGAATCCTGAACTAGGACTCCCAATTCCCTTTGTGCTTCACATTTCCAAAGCTTTTCCTCATTTAGAAAATGGTCTAAACATCCATTCTTCCTACCAAAGTGCATAAACTCACACTATACCACATTGTATTCCATCTGCAACTTCTTTGCCCACTGTCCTAGCCTGTCCAAGTCCTTCTGCAGCCTCTCTCCTTCCTGAACACTACCTGTCCCTCTAACCTTCTTTATGTCATCTGCAAACTTAGCAACAATGTCCTCAGTTCCTTCATCCAGATCATTAATGTAGATTGTGAATAGTTGTGGTCCCAACACTGACCCCTGCAGAACTAATCAGCAGCTCTCATCTTGAAAAATAACCCTTTATCCCCACTCTCTGCCTTCTGCCAGTCAGCCAGTCCTTTATGCATGCCAGTACCTTGCCCCTGACACCATGGGTTCTTATCATAGTTTGCAATTTCCTATGCAGCACCTTGCCAAAGATCTTCTGGAAAGTCAAAAGCATCATGTCGACTGGCTCTCCTTTGTCTAACTTGCTCATTACTTCCTCAAAGAATTCTAACAGGCTTGTCAGGCATGACCTCCCCTTGATGAAGACCTAATGACCGAGCCCAATTTATCATGCACTTCCAAGTGCTCTGCAATTACATCTTAATATCTTACCAATGACCAAAGTCAGGCTAACTGGCATAAAATTTCCCAACTTGTCTCCCTCCCTTCTTAAACCGATGTGTTATATTAGCCATTTTTCAGTCCTCTGGGACCCTGCCTAACTCCAGTGGTTTCTGAAAGATCACCACCAATGCCTCAATAATCTCCTCAGACATTTCCTTTAGAATTCTGAAGTGCAGTCCAGCTGGTCCAGTGATTTATCCACCTTCAGACCTTTCAGCCTTCCCAGCATGTTCTCCTTAGCAATGGCCACTATACTTACCTCCATGACTCTCTTGAAGTTCTGGTATATTGCTGGTGTTTTCCACTGTGAACACTGATGCAAAGTACCTGTTCAGTTCCTCCACCATTTCTTTGTTCTCCATTACTATCTCTACAGCCTCATTTTTCAGTGTCCACTCTTGCCTCTCTCTTACCATGTTGACAGCTGAAAAACAATCTTGCAATCTACTTCTTATATTATTAGCAGCTTACCCTCATAATTTGTCTTCTCTTTCCCCCATTGTTTTTTCAGTTATCCTCTGCTGGTTTTTTAAAGGCTTCCCAATCCTCTGACTTCCCACTAATCTTTACCACACTATATGTTTTCTCTTTTGCTTTTATTCTGTCCCTGACTTCCTGTGTCAGCCATGATTGCCTTTCCTTCCCCTGAGTATATTTCTTCTTCCTTGAGATGAATTTTTGCTGTGCTTCCTGAATTACCCTTAGAAACTTCTGCCATTGCTGCTTCACAGTTTTCCCTGCTAGGCTACCCTTCCAGTCAACTCTGGCCACCTCCTCCCTTGTACCTTTGTAGCTATCTTTACTCAATTGTAATACCATTACATCTGATTCCAGCTTCTCCCTTTAATCCTGCAGGGTGAATTCTGTCATATTATGGTCACTGTCTCCAGGGGTTCCTTCACCTTAAGCTTCCAAATCAAGTCTGCCTCATTACACATCACCAAATCCAGAATTGCCTGTTTCCTAACGGAATCTACACAGCTGCTCCCAAAAAAATCTTGTAGACATTCCTTCTCCATGAATCCCTTTTCTTGAGATCAGCTACCAGCCTGCTTTTCCCAATCCACCTATTTATTGAAGATCCCATGATTATTGTAATAGTGCCTTCCTTACATGCCTTTTTTAGCTCCTTAATTATTTTCTTCTCCACATCCTGACTACTGCTAGGAGGCCTGTACACAACTCCCATCAGGGGTTTTTCCTTTGTGGTTCCTTAACTATTGTTTGTCTTACTGGGTTTACTAATATCTATAGAACTCAGTTTGGTCTTCTTCCTTAAATGGTTATGTCTTTTTCATGTATAACCAATGAAACATTTTTAAAGACTTAACATAGTTTAGAATTTTCTTTTCTAGGGAAACAGCCCAGCATGTTCAGTCTGTGCAGATGGTTTTAAACTCTTGGTTCTGGTATCATCTTACTGAATCATTTTTGCACCACTTCCAATACCTCTATGTTATTCTTGTAAAATGGAATTCTGAAATATTCGTAATGCTCCATGGTTTGCTTTTTCATGCCTTTATTAACATTTGTTGGTACTTTTAATGATCTGAGTGACTGTATCTTGAAATACCTTTGCTCCTCGACATCATTTAGACACTAGCTTTTCAAGGAGTGTATGGCTCCCTTATTCTTGCTACCGAAATGTACCACCTCACATTTACTTATATTGAAGGTTAGTTGCCAATGACATAAATATTCTGTAATTTATTAATATTACCCTAAAGTTAGTGTAGAATTCCCCTGCATTAGCTACACTAACCTTTTGATATCACCTGCAAATTTTGAAATCATATTTCTGATTTACAGTCCATTTTGAACATTGTGAGCAACTTTGACTTCAGCACTGACCATTGTTACTTTCACCCCTGACTTCTCATGGTCTAACCCTGGCAAGGACTCTACACTGCAGTGTCTTATTGAAGATCTTTTGAAAAATCCAAATTTTACTACTACTAATGTGCCTATGATTTTATCACTTAATCATAAAATTCTAAACGGCTGGCATAATGCTCATTGAGAAGTCTAGCTGCACATATTCTCAATTCATTGATTTATCATTTAAACATTTGAAATCCACATATGAGTCAGTTTCATAGAAAATCTAATCACAATATTAATGAGGCTTCACTCCACAGATGGCAGTTTTTGATATCCTCTTCAAACAATGGCCTCAATTTTCTGATTTCCGACGTAGTATCGCTACTGAAAGCATAGAGACCAAAAAGGGACAAGAAGTAATGCAGAGTAAAAACACAGAAAAGAACTTAATTCAGCTGAAGGTAAATCTAATCTCAAAATAAAGAATTGTTTTTAGATGGATGGGATATTAACATTCTAAAAATCTGAAACCTAATATGGTTTTTGACGGAGGTGGGATAGGGAAGTGGACAAAAGCAGCTTCCAGAAGATAGGCTAACAATTTAATTATTGTAAGGAGGCTGAAAGCCTTATACAGTAATTAAGTTTAAGAAATCTGGCAGCTAAAGGGGCCTCTTTGTGGTAATGTAAGCGTTTTTTGCAGTGCTTCTTCTGAACCAAGAGGACCTGAGTGCTTCATCCAGCCCACTATACTTATCTTCCTCCATTTCCACTATCAGCCTCGGCCTGCTGATCTAAAGATAGCTGTGTGATCAGAACTCCTGGCATCAGAAATCAAGCCCCCTCTCCATTCCACTGGAGATTGCTTACCCCTTGGATTCATGTATTGCACCCCAGATCACTGTGTCCTGTGATTGCTAATCACAGCACATCACAGCATTAGATTCACTCCTCAGGTAGTGATTACCATCACCTCCTCAGGATTCTGACCATGCACACTAACTCTCCCTCCCCATTTCCCCTCCCATTCCCCTCTCTTGCTTCTCCATCTGCTTCCACGAACCCCAAGTTGCAGTATCCTTACTTGCCCCTGACCCTGGCCTGATACAAGACCAAGCCTCTAAATCAATTTAGCTTCTGGACAGAGAAAAAGAACACATCCCTGTGAAGTTATAACTTTAAAGCATGTAAAGAAACTTGGACTTATAAGGAAACATATGACTTTGATGTGTTCACAAAGGAATTGGGTAACAGCGCCAGCACATTTTGACGTAGCATTGACACACAGCACTCCCTGTAGGTTTTAGCATCTTTTCTCATATGTTCCGCTCAAAATTACATGGTTCAGTTCGGGGCTAGGAAAAGGTCTGGAATCTTCTCAAGGAGATTAGGAAAAGCTTAAAAGTTTTTCCTTTGCCACATTCCTATGCTAGGTACCAAAATTAGCAACTGGGACACAGGTTTCCTTCTTATCTCTTAAAGTGGAGAATTTCTAGGAGAAAAGAAGCCTAAACAGAATTTTTGTGCCCGTAATTGCATCATTCAAATAAATGTCAGTTTTCTTAGATCAATTAAGTCTCCGTGCAAGTACCTGCCAATGCCTGAAGATTGCAATGTGTGCAACTCAGTGGCAAAATAACAGGAGGTTGAGATGTTGAGATTTGGAGATTTAGTCTATTATTATTATTTTTACTTCTTGAGGTTGGTTGGCTCGCTGAGCTGGTTTCTTGTTTCGCTGACGTTTTGTTACCATGCTTGGTAACATCCTCAGTGCAGCCTCCAATGAAGCATCAATGTGTTTTCCCACCTGGTTTTTAAACGCTGGGGTCTGTTGAGATGGATTGCCTCACTTCCGGTTTTCCTTCATAGTGGAGTGTGTATAGGGTAGAGTTCAATGTGTTTATTAATAGAATTGGGTCAGAAGATGCCTACACGAACAGCATCAGAAAGAGACTATGCGCCCCAACACACTCATCACACTACCCTGTATCAGAAACACGTCAGAACTCAACACAAGACTCCTACGACCGCTGGGCATCAGAGTGGCACACAAGCCCACGTCAACCCTACGACAACTGCTCACCCGAACTAAGGACCCACTCCCCGCCATGGACAGGACCAATGTCATCTATAAGATCCCCTGCAGAGACTGCGAGAAACACTACATCGGACAAACAGGAAGGAAACTAACAACAAGAGTACATGAACACCAACTGGCTACAAAAAGACATGACCAATACTCACTCATCCCAATCCACATGGGCAAGGAGAACCACCACTTCGACTGGGACAACACCAAGATCCTGGGACAGGTGAGGCTGGGACAGGCACGAGAATTCCTAGAAGCATGGCACTCCAAGAAGCATGCTATTAATAAACACATTGAACTTGACCCCATATACATTCCACTATAAAGGAAAAGTGGAAGTGAGGTAATCCATCTCAACGGACCCCAGAGTTTAAAAACCAGGCGGGAAAACACACCGACGCTTCATCGGAGGCTGCACTGAGGATGTTACCCAGCATGGTAACGAAACGTCTGCGAAACAAGAAACCAGCTCGGCGAGCCAACCAACTCAACAACCTCAACACTCACAACCTGAGCTACAAATCTACTCCAAAATTTTTACTCCTTATTATTATTTTTCATATCACACTTGATGTTGAGGCCATAATTAGCGACCATAGAAATTAAACTCAGAATAATACTTTCAAATATGCAGCAGGACAAATGGGCGCAGTGTCAGGGTTATATGTATTTTTTTGAACAGAGAGAAGAGCAGCCAGACCTGCTTGCAAAGAAGTGTAAATGTAATTAGCATACTGACTTCACTTGAGAAAGAAACAGATAAGGAAAATATAGAGATAGTAGGAACTGCAGATACTGGAGAATCTGAGATAACAAGGTATAGAGCTGGATGAACACAGCAGGCCAAGCAGCATCAGAGGAGCAGGAAGGCTGACGTTTCAGGCCTAGACCCTTCTTTATTTTCTTTCTCCAATTAAATCTTGTTCCATTGATTGACTTCCAACATGCAATCCTGGATAAGTGGAGATTTCCTCCATCAGAATATAGGGAAGACTGAAACCACAGCCCTTGTTCCCTGATGTAAACTTTATTCTTCAGCCTTCGATTCCATCTCTCTCCTAGGTAACTGTGTACGGCAGAACCATAGTGATCACTCTGTGGTTTAGTAGTTGATACCATGAAGAGCTTTCCAACATGGATCAACCCATCATGACGACTATCTCCTTTCACCTCCATAACATGATCTAACTGTCCCGTCTCAGCTCAACTGCTGCTGAAAATAGCTGAAGAAATGTAGGTGGTATAAAGCCTGGAAATAAATTAAAGGCCCAATTCCTACATGGTGTATGAACAGAAACTTGAAATAATGAGAAAGTAACATTATACAAACAATGGCTATGAGGGAATAATTAGGATCCATAATGAAAACTCTCAGTTTATTGTATGTAATTTTGCAGTTTATTACTGCTAACTTTTATCTATTTATTTTCTTCACACCTGTCCATAATAGAGTGACTCACTGAAGATAACTGATTGATTCTATTTTTCAGAGCATTCACAATCGAAAATCTGGTTTACTTCAGTCACCTTCTCTTGATCCTGAGAGCAGGTCCAGTGGAAGTCAACTGTCCTTAAAGGGTGGAAGTGACAAACCAACACAGAATCAGCAGGAAATGAAGCCAGGAAGTGCTGGAACCAATCAGGTCAGGCAGCACATACGAAGAGGGAAACAGTGTGTAAAATAAACTGAACTATCCTAAAGGATATACAAAAGCAGAGAGACCTAGATGCATATGTGCTGAACTCATTAAAGGTAAAGCATACAGTATTCTAGGCTACGCTGGCGTATAAAAACATGGAGGTTATGATAAACTTATATAGGTCACTGGTTAGATCTCAGCTAAAGCACAGTTGTGTACAATTCTTGACGGCACATTATAGGAAGGAAATCAATGCATGGAGAGAGTGCAGGAGATGTTTATGAGAAAGGTTTCATGAGACACTTAAGTTATAGGGTCAGATTGGAGATTGTTATCCTTCGAATGGAGAAAGTTAAGAGGAGATTTGATAGAATTTTCATTGTCATAAGAGGTTTGAATAGACTAGATAACATACAAACTGTCCCTGCTCGTAAAGTTATAAGGAACCAGAGGGCACAGTTTTAAAGCATTTTGTAAATGAAACAAATGTGAGGTGAGAAACAACTTTTTCACATAGTGAGTATCTAGGTTTTGGAATACACTGCCTGGAAGTGTGGTGCATGCCGGTTCAGTTGGGTATCATCTGGTTCTGGCACTGTTTCTGTTGGTGAGTTCTAGTCACTGTAACTCACTTCAATTATGTTGTCTTTGAGCATGCACTCAATCTATTTTTGAACCTGTGCCAACTTTAGAGGGTTAAGTCTATAAGAATGTTGCTTAATTGGAACAGCATTTCCTATATCTACATCATAAAAGTTAAGATAGTACTTCCCAGCTTATTCCCATTTATCTCCCCATGCAATAGCAATAACTCTCTCAGGTCATTTCGATTTTACCCTGGAAGGTAACTTAATAGTTTCTCCCAATTTTTGTGAACTTCCTCATTGTCCAATTTAATTTCAGGATTGTCCAATTCAGAATCATCAGATCATCAGATGCCATTTCCCCTACCTTCAGCGAGATGCCACCACCAGACACATAGTCCCCTCCCTTCCCTTGTCCGCCTTCCGCAGGGACTGTTCCCTCCAGGATACCCTGGTCCACACTTCCTTCACCCCCAACACCACCCCACAGCCCTACAGCACCTTCCCCTGTAACTGGCAAAGGTGCAACACCTGCCCATTTACCTCCTCCCTCCCCAGTATCCAAGGACCCAAACATACCTTCCAGGTGAAGCAACATTTCACCTGCACTTCCCAGAATTTAGTCTACTGCATTTGCTGCTCACAATGTGGTCTCCTCCACACCGGGGAAACAAAGTGTAGACTTGGCGACCGTTTCACAGAACAACTACATTCTGCTTGCAAAAAAGACCCTGAACTACCTGTTGCCTGCCACTTTAACGCACCCACCTTGTTCCCTGGCCAACATCTCTGTCTAAGGGTTACCGGACCCAAAATGTTAACTCTGTTTTTTCCTTCACAGATGCTGCCAGACATGCTGAGCTTTTCCAGCAACTTTGGTTTTGTTCAGAATCATCTGAACTTGGTCCTTCAGTCTGTGTTGTAACCAGTAACACATTCTCTTTGTGCTTCCTTCCCTATCAAAATATCTTTTGAGCATATTTACATGACACACTCTGTGAGATTTCTTTCTGCCTGGAGTTCATATCAAAAAATTCATCTCACCCAATCTCCTTTCAATTTGATAATGTCCACTAAACCTTGCTTTTAAAGGTTCACCTATTACTGGAAGTAACACTAACACTTTAATCTCCTTTAGCAAAATTGCGAATTTTTGATTTCTTGTCTGCTTCCTGTTTCATCATGTGCTGTGTTACTTTTAAATGCTATCTAGCCAACTGCCCTGCTTTATTTATCCATTCCCTAAAATATGTCGTCTCTGAACTTTGACTCACCAAGCTCTCCTTAATTAATTTCAGTGGTCCTTTCATCTCATGCCCAAAGACTAATCCAAATGGAGTGAATTTGTTAGATTCATTTGGTGCATCCCTAATTGCGAGAAGTAAAAACATAATTCCTTTATCCCAATCCTCTGAATAATCTTGACTATAAGTCCTCAACATGGTCTTTAAAGTTTGATGCCACCATTCTATAGCTCCCTGTGCTTCAGGAAGGCATGCAGTCGATTTGAGTTGTTTTATTCCTAAGCTATCCATAACTCCCTTAAATAATTTTGATGCAAAATTTGACCCATGATCTGATTATATCTCTGTGGGTAGTCTGTATCTAGTGAAAAATTTGAGTAACTCTTCTACAAACCTTTTAGCTATGATATTATGTAATAGGATGGAAACCTAGTGAACACATCCATTTTGGTCAACACATACTGATTCCCACTTTTTGTTTTAGGTAGGAGTCCTACGCCATCAATTAAGACCCTTGTAAAAGGTTCCTCAAATGCAGGAATGGGTATTAAAGGGAGGTGCAGTGAGCAGTTTCAGGCTCCTATGATGCTGCTTGGCCTGCTGTGTTCATCCAGCCCTGCACCTTGTTGTCATGGGTATTAAAGGTGCTCGTTTTATCACTGCCTGAGGTATTCCAATGACCTGATATGTATGACATGTCTGGCAAAATTCAACTACATCCTTATGAAGATCAGGCTAGTAAAATAGTTTTTGTTTTTTGGCTTGACTTTTTCTTACCCCTAAATAAACTCCTACTGGAGTGCACTGCCTGAAATGGCATTTTGAACAGTAATTTTCAAAAGGAAATTGAAGAAATAGAATAGCTTGCAGGGTTATGGGCAGGTGGACTGATTGCAAAGTGCTTTCACAGGGCACAATTGGCTGAATGACCTCATTCTGTGCTGCATGAGGCCGGCCTTGTATCAGAGGAATTTACTGCCCCATGTGAAGCAGGTTATGTGGATTGCCATGTCTTGGAATTCCTGGAATGCTGGCAGGTGGTGATATTGTGGTAATGTCACTGGTTCAGGTCTTTGTTCTGGGGACATGGGTTCGAATCCCACTAGGGCAGACACTGAAAATTTGAATTCAACGAAATTCTGGAATTGAAAGCTGGCCTAATAATAACATTGTCACCTTGTTGTTTGCTGTAAAAACCCACCAATGTGCAATTTTCACTTGGTCTAGCCTACACATGAATGGCAGGTGTCTTTTCCTGAGGGTGGGAGATTTCAAGACTAGGAGGCAATTTTTAATGGTGACAGGAGGAAGATTTTAAAAAGACATGAGGAGCAATTTTTACACAGAGAGTGGTTCATGTGTGGTGGATGTGGGTACATGTTTAAAAGACATTTAGATAAGTACATGAATAAGAAACGTTTGGAGGGATATGGATCAAGCACAGGTAAGGTGGGACTAGTTTAGTTTGGGATTATGGTTGGCAGGGTCTGTTTCCATACTGTATGATTCCATGACTCTACAGTAATTCATGTGCTACCCGCAACACCTCCTTTCTATGACCCACTGGTAATACAACTTGATGAACTTCTGCCCATTTCTCATCCGCCTGAATATGTGATGATCTCCATTTCCTCATCATGACTTCATTTTTAAGATAGTAACATCCCAGAATACACGTAGATTCCTCTTCCATGTACGCTTTTTAATACAATTGCTTCATATTTTCATCTTTCTGTTGTAACTCAGTAAACTTCTCTGAAATAAAAATATCCACTTTGTCCTCCACCTGTTCTTGTTTTTTCTCAACCATTTGATCAAACGTGGTCTTTGATAATTCTACTTCAACTTCCTTATCTTTATTCTTTGATTTCTCCTCCTGTTTCAACCTGTGGCTTTGTGGCCTTGTTACCACACAGTGAGGAAAAGTCCTAGGATATAATTCCTGGATTAGCTCAGTTGCCTCATTTTCTGCTGGCTTTTCAACTACAGTAGGCAGCACTCCTATCTAAGAACCAGCCACGTCATTACCAAGGATTAATTGTATTCCTGGAGCTGAGAGTTGCTCCAGTATTCCTACCACCAGTTCTCCACTTTTTCACCAGACATTCCAACCTTACTTTACGTAATGGAGTATTTCTTGTCTCACCATGAATTCCACAAATTAGCAGTTTTGAATTAGTCCTTCTGAATTACATATCTCTTCATCTGTCAACATCAAAAATTGACACGCTCACATATCTCTTAAAATTGTAATTTCTTTACCTGGTGCTCCTGGCCTATGCGAGTAAACCTTACCCTCACAAGTAAATGGTTTAAAAAGACCTGGCACTTTCTTCTCAACCAACCTCTGACCAGGTTCTACATTCTGGTGCAGCTTTTTAGCCTCCACTGTGCTTTCCTTTATCACTTCTACAAAATTCATTGGCTTACCCTGTTTTTCTACATCTGTCTTCACAGTGCTTTTTCTAAACCACCAACACTGCAATGTCATGTGGCCTACTTTATTGCAGTGAAAACTCCTCAGCTTTATTACTCCTTTTTCCCCTTCATGAGTTTTTTTTACCCTGTGGTAAACTGTCTTTACTTTCTTCAATAAGTTCTACCTTACCCTTACCACCTGAGGATTTCTGTTTCCCCCAATTTCTATCCCTCACGGATTGAAATTGATGTCGGAAGCCAAATTTTGATTTATGAACTAACTCATAATCATCATTTTGATTTATGAGCTAACTCATAATATAATCATAGAGGGGAGGTGATGCACTAACGGTATTATCGCTGGTCTGTTAATCCAGAAACCCAGATAATATTCTGGGGACCTGGGTTCGAATCCTGCAGATGGTGGAATTTGAATTCAATAAGTGCTTGGAGTTAAGAGTCTAATGATGACCATGAATCCATTGCCCATTGTCGGAAAAACCCTTCTGATTCACTAATGTCCTTTAGGGAAGGAAACTGCCATCCTTACCTGGTCTGGCCTACATGTGACTCCAGACCCACAGCAATGTGGTTGACTCTTAACTGCCCTCTGGGCAATTAGGGATGGGCAATAAATGCTGCCTAGCCAGCAATGCCCTCATCCAGTGAGTAAATAAAGAAAAAAAAATCAGCAATTTCAGCTGCTAATCTTGCAGTTTTAACTCTCTGCTCTTCCACATGGGTTCTCACTACTTCA